CGAGTCCGACTCTAGGGTTGCGGTGCTCATCTCCGTTTCAAAGCCGAAGAGCCAGCGCTGCCCGGAGACGTTTCCCGTGGTCATGTGGCCGGCGTGACTAAACACCAAGGCGCACGGAGCGCTGATCCCTTCCCACCGAAGTGGTACCTATTTATCTACTTGCAATTTCTTGCTTTGGAACTGCTAGGTTGGCAGGAGACTTTGTGAGTTACTGGGCAGTAAAATTGTGAGCCAGCGATTTGGCTGCTGTATCAATCGGTTTGCCCTGGAGCCTTCCTCCCTGAGCTAAGGCAAAAAGATGTGAGCTGGAGGCTACAAAATTGTGAGCTGGCTCACACTAACTCAGCTTAGAGGGAACATCTTAGAGTGTGTCCAGTGGCATGAGGCCCACAAAATCGGGTTCTGGTTGCCGCTTTCGTGTGCCATGTGCACTTCGGCGTGCTGCACGCTTCCATCAGAATTGGACTTTTATTTATTTAATTTATTAGTTAGATTTCTATCCTGTCCTTCTGCAAAAGCGACTCAGGGCAGCTTACAACAATTATAAAACCAGCATAAATACATACATAAAATACAACTCAATAAAATAGTTCAGCTCATTTCCAATTGAATAAATACAGTTAAAACCATTTAAATGTGGCGGTGTCGTATAATAAGGTGCAAGTGCAGCACAGCCGATATAGGGTCTTTCCTACTGGAACGCCCGGCGAAATGGTCCTGCAAAATTGCTGGAGGTCTCGTGGGGTTCTGATCTCATTAGGGAGCTCATTCCAGAGCATCCGGCGCCACCAGGGAGAACGTCCTGGTCCTAATCGCCACCAACCTGACCTTGGTTTGTTAGTTTCATTTATAAATATATGCAAGGGCACCCACTCCATGTTGCCTTCTTGTACTGGGATTCAGAGGTTGACTGCCTCTGGCTATGGAAGTTCCCTTGAATCAGCTTGCCTAGTAGTCACTGATGGAGCTGTGCTTCATGAGTCTGTTTAATCCCAATTTAATGCCATTTGTTGATTTTACAGCACACTTTTTGTCTTACAGGACTTCTTTAGATAAAAAAGGATTTTAGAGCAAAAAAGGGCAAAAAAAAAATCTAGTGTGTGTTTGCCAAGGCTATATTGGCAGACTAAAGCTTGGGAGACATGAATTCATCCATAGGGCTCTTCTTCTCTCAGATTGTCCTATCCCACTGTTGTGAGGATAATCAGAGTAAAAGTTAACTTTCTTAATCAGGCCAATGGTCCATCTAGTCCATCAGCTTGTTCCACGCAGTGTCCAGTCAGTTGGTCCACAGGGCCAAACCCCCCATGCTGCCTCTTAGCACAGGAAAGTAGAGGTTTGTTGCCTCTGGAGTTGGCCATGAGGAAGAAAGGTGGGATTATATCTAAATCTATTATAGAAAATCAGACTCAAAGCTACAATGCAAGCAGCTCTTGTAAGCCAGCAAGTTGAGCAGGTGAACCGTAACGTTGGTGGGGTGGGAAAATGAAAAAGACGCCAGACATTCATGGAAGATCAGCCTGCCAAGGGCCTTAGGCTGAAATGGAGGGTGGGGGGATGATGTAAACTGCTTTGGGTCCCTACAAGGCCTCTATAGTCACCACTGTGGGGTGGTCTTTGTGCCCACATCCTCAAAAGACTCTGAATCCCATGTTAGAAATCCTTCAGAATTACCCATTTGATGCTCTTCCATATTTTGAAAAAGTTTAAAGCCCTCAGTGATGGCACACAGGTGCACACTGGCATAACTCTCTGCAGTCTCTTTAACACTGGCAGCTGTAAGCTGTCAATAACACCGCTTACCTTAGCAAAGAGGGTTTTACACTTGGAGAAGCTGAGGAACAGGCTACTCAGTTTGAACATACTGTGTATTTGTGTGTATCGTCTGTAGGTGTGTGCACATATTGCTGTGATGTTGTAATTTGCGTCTTATCTGGCGTTCAGGGACAGTTGCCTGCTGTTCACACACTGTCGCCGTTGAGCTGAAGACCTCTTGGGACTGAGCAATATTTGTGCTGTTGAGGAACGAGGGTAATACAGTTTGCTTGTGGCTAAAGTGACTATTTTTCACCCCCACCCACCCAGGCTTGTACTCGTCCACTAGTCTCGGTGTACTCCGAAAAGGGAGAAGTGTCAGGTAAAAGTGTCACCATGCCGGCTGTATTCAAGGCTCCCATCCGCCCTGACGTTGTGAACTTCGTTCACACCAATTTGCGAAAGAACAACAGACAACCCTACGCTGTCAGTGAGCTCGCAGGTAAGAGATGTATAGGAAAGAACATCTTTGAACTTCCTCAGGGACGTTAGCTAGAAATTAGAGGCAGCACTTCTTGATAGCTTTCAAAGGCGTGAAAGCAGGTGGTTTCAGGGCAAGAATGGTTAAATTGTAGTTGTTTTGTGTTGTGAGTTGACGTTGGGAAATTTAGGGATCCAGACCGCTTGTTGGAATCCCCAAACCTCCATCGAGGTTCTTTCTCATGGGTGGATGGAGTCTGGCCAGGGAACACAGGCCTCCAGAGGGAGAGAAACAGAGAGATAACAGTTGCTCTGAACAAAAGCTATTAATTCTTAAAACCAGGCACAAGTAGCACTCAGTAACATGTATTCAGTAACAATACTCAATAACTTGTTGAAAATTCCAGTACTTGATATAGTGTACACTTCAGAAAGAACAAGGAACGTTCCTGGGCTACAAGACCAGGACTGGCACAGACACAGGTGGTATGTTGGCCAAGCACCTGGACAATTTTATGCTCTTTTCAGTCAGTAGGAACCAATGGAGGCGTCAATCAAGAATGAACCAGAGCTGACAAACACCAGACCAGCCCGTCTTAAGTTGATACCATGAACTTTTGCCCAGATATATTTTTATTAGCTATGATGTCAAAAAGACTGGAACAGATATGGTGCCTCCTGTACATCTAACCCATATATGTTTGGGTTTTGGAGCTTGGCACCGATATCAAAAATGTAAGCAATGCTTTTAGGAGAAAGGACAAATGCAGGGTGAGGTACCTTAGAAAGCCTGTATGCTTGGCAAGAGGAATATATTTATTTATTTATTTAAATTTATAACCCGCCCTCCCCACGAACGGGCTTTCTGGAGCTGGCTTGCAAAGTCTTGTGGAATAGAACCAAACAGTGAAGTATAGGTTAATTCAGATTACTATACAGAAATGGCCTAGTCTTGGCTAAAATTCTGCCACAGTTGACCAATGCTCCCTCTAAGCTGTGGAGTCTTGTGAGCAAAGGTTCTACTTTGTAAGCTACTGGCATTCATTGTGAGCAAGCAATTTGGATACTGCATAAATTAGTTTGCTCTGGAGCCACCCTTCCTGAGGTAAGACCAAAATGTGTGAGCAGGAGGCTAAAAAATTGTGAGATAGCTCACACTAGCTCAGCTTAGAGGGAATACTGCAGTTGACATAAGATCCACCATAAAATTTCCTGTCAAATGCCCCTTGGGTTACAGATAAAATGTATGAAGGCAACCTGTAGATGTAGACATCCTTTTCAAATGAGGTTTTTGAGATCTGATTTAAGTCTTATTACATTAATTACAGCAGCAGCGTGTGGTGGGGTTTTGCTAGCTTTTGTTAGATACTAATAGGAAGAACCTAATTCCTGGTGTTGTTTTTTTTTTGTCCCATATCTGTTTTAGGGCTTAAGTGAGAAGGATTAAATATTTACTACTTAAAACTAAATTTCAGGATGTGCCATACAGAAATGATGAGATTCCACTTCATCGGTCCGTGTTTTTGAGTTTTCTGATAACAGTGGAAGTTCTGACGGTGGCCATTAAATCCTTCAGAACATGGTGACCTAACATTTTCAGGAGCAAAATGGTTCATGCTGTATGTGCTTTGTGTTCTTCAGGGCATCAGACCAGTGCTGAATCTTGGGGTACCGGTAGAGCCGTGGCTCGTATCCCGAGGGTTCGCGGAGGTGGAACGCATCGATCTGGCCAGGGTGCTTTTGGCAATGTATCCTTTGTTCTGGCTCCCTCTTGTGGGCACGTCCTCAAACTCTGGCCTTCTGTCATTCCCAGGGAGCGCTGCAGTTTAAGACCCTAAATGCAATTGCACGTGCCCTTAGAACATACTCGGAGGCACTGGCCGGTGAATGGCTAAAGAGGCGGGGAGGGGTCCTGCTTGCCATGATGTCGTAATTTGCGTCCTACTCTGTGCTTGGCGACAGTTGCCTGCTGTCATGCAGCCGAGGCAGACGGTTGACGACCAACTAACTCTGAGCAAAGCTGGCAAGAGGGGTTGATCCGCAAATATTCTGGTGGTTGTCCTTGATGCTGGATGCGTAGATGTGTCGTGGAGGTCGCATGTTTGCCCCGACCAAGACTTGGAGGCGCTGGCACCGCAGGGTGAACATAAACCAGAAGCGCTATGCCATCTGCTCTGCTCTGGCAGCTTCGGCTCTTCCAGCACTGGTGATGTCTAAAGGTAAGTGTATTTTTACACGGGGTGTCAGAACAACTCTAGCGATAGGAGTATTTGGCATGACAGTCATACATCCGGATTCTAAGTGGCAGAGGATGTTTGTCTCAATGGAGAAATGAGGCTTTGTATAGAGGGACATTCCTTGACCTGGGTGGCCTGGCCGACCCCGATCTCATCATACCTGGGTCAGCCCCGCTTAGTACTTGGATGGGAGACCGCCAAGGAAGTCCAGGGTTGCTACTCGGAGGTAGGCAAATGACAAGCCACCTCTGTGCATCTCTTGCCTTGAAAAACATACAGAGGTAGCTGTAAGTCAGCTGCAACTTGACTTGAGCCAGCTTGGTGCCGTGGTTAAGTGCGTGGACTCTAATCTGGGAGAACCTGATTTGATTCCCCACTCCTCCACTTGCAGCTGCTGGATGACCTTGGGCAAGCCATAGTTCTGGTCAGAGCTGTTCTCTCAAGGGACAGTTCTGAAAAGAGTTATCTCAGCTCCACCTCCCTCACAGGGTGTCTCTTGTGGGAAGGGGAAGGGAAAGGCGATGGTAAGCCGCTCTGAAACTCCCAGTGAAGGGCAGGGTATAAATCCAATCTCCTCTTCTCCCACCACTATAGGAGGGTCATTGTGGGCAGGTTTAGTATGGAAAGCCTTGTAGAGGAGTTTCTTGTTGCTCTCCTCTGTCGGGGTTCATTTGTGAACAAGTGTCCTTTCAGCAGTGTTTCTGATTCAAACTGCAAGTGGTTCTTTCACTCAGGCCACCGCATTGAGGAGATTCCAGAACTGCCCCTGGTAGTTGAAGACAAAGTTGAGAGTTACAAGAAAACTAAGGAGGCTGTGCTGTTGCTGAAGAAGCTGAAAGCCTGGAACGATATCAAAAAGGTGAGTTGATCGTTGGTTGCAGAAGCGAGGGTGGTTCTAGGTTATTTGTGCTGATAAAGCTAGCGAAAGGAATGTAGTAACTACACTGCTAAGAGGTGCCTTAGTCCAAGTAGTTTGTGCAAACATTGTAGCTAGCCAGCACGCCTTTTCTTGAAGTTAGGTGTTTAATCGCTTTGCGGAATGATGAATTGTTTTCACTGGTCCGTGTTTCAGATGAACAGTGGTGATTGTGAAGTTCTGACTTGCAAATAGTCTGACCTTGCGACCCCTGAAAGTGGTGGAGTGTCTGGTTTTGACACGCAGTGCCTTTTCTTCTCAGGTCTACGCCTCTCAGCGTATGCGGGCTGGCAAGGGCAAAATGAGGAACCGCCGTCGCATCCAGCGCAGGGGCCCCTGCATCATCTACCACGAGGACCACGGCATCATCAAAGCTTTCAGGAACATCCCAGGTACCTTTTTGCATTAACAAAACCGGAAAGGGGAGGGGGGGGATGATGGTGAGGGTCTTTGAGGTTGTAGGAAAGGTGCTGGAAATGATGATATTCCACTTCATTGGTCCGTGTTTCTGAAATAAACATGATTTGGTGGAAGTTCTGACAAAATGCACCAAGGTGTAGATCTTACAGAGGGCGCTTCGTCTGGGGCACGTGGGAAGCTTGCGTTTCCTCTGTCTTCTGGGTTGCAAAATAGTGTCCAGTTGTATTTAATGTTTTATTTTCAAAAACAAAAAGTGTGATACAAAAGGGTAAGGGAAAGTGTAAATTCAACCAAATGTATCAAGTATCATGAACAGTTGCATACAACAAGTAGAATCAACTGTATTAATAAAAATACATTGTTCAGATATAAAAGAAGCAAATAAAACGTTACTACAGTATTCAGGAGTAAGTTCTCTCTGAAATAAGAAACAAAATATTTCTGAGTATTCAGCACTAGTCTAATAACAAACGAGATTACATTTTTAACAATTAAATTTCTATACTAAGTTTAAACCATCCTTAAACCTGGGTATTGTTTTAGTCATTTATCACTTTTAAGTCTTACTTTTCCTAAATATCTTAAATACTTTATATATTAAATGAATTCAAAAACTTTCAAGATGTTTAACTACTCCCATCATATGCCTTTCCATGTCTGCTGAAATTCTTTCAGCGGTCTTTTATGTATATAGTTATTTTTGTCAGTGTTGCATACTCAGCTAATTTTTCTTTCCCAAGTCTCTATTGCGGGTGTTTGCCTCTTTCGTAGAGCCGTGTGTCTCACGTGCCAATTTCCTGTTTGATAGGAATTACTCTTCTTGATGTCAACAAACTGAACCTTCTGAGACTTGCTCCTGGAGGCCACGTTGGACGCTTCTGCATTTGGACGGAGAGTGCTTTCCGCAAGCTGGATGAGTTGTACGGCACCTGGCGCAAGCCGGCCACCCTGAAGAGCAACTACAAGTAAGCGTGGTCAAAACTGGAGGGTTTGTCTAGTTTCTGACTGAGAATCCTCACGCACAACTGAGGGCTGTTTAGTGTACAGAATGAGACTATTTAACTTGGGAAAGGGAGTAACGTGTCATAGGTGGAAATCCGAATCTAATGCCTGTGTTCAAATTGCAGTCTGCCAATGCACAAGATGACCAATACAGATCTTGGAAGAATCCTGAAAAGCCCGGAGATCCAGAGGGCCCTGCGTGCGCCAAAGTAAGTGTGTGCCACTTTTAAGCTGGAGAGTTGAAAAGAAAGTTGTAGAAAGGCCTAAACCAGTCAGGTTTGGGGCGGGAGCCCAACATGACGGTGAGAGTTAGGATGACACAATGATTTCAGTGATCTTGTGCAGCAGTAGATCTCTTTGTGTGCAGGTGATCTTCTTTCCCCCCCCCCCCCCAGTCTTGCTTTTGGGTGGTTTAATGAAGAATCATTATCCTTACAGTAGTACATTTTAATCGTACCCTTCTTCCGCGGAGCTCAGAGTGACATACGTAAATTCTCTGTCCTTTCGCGTCATCCTCACAACAGCCTTGTGAGGTAGGCTAAGTCTCTAAGAGTGATTGACCTCAGGGTGACCCTCATGACTTGAGTGGGGATTTGAAGTTGTGTCTCCCAGATGCTAGTCTCTGCTAAACTGAAACACACACACACACCCCGCTTCTGCTTGTGTATTCACGGAACAGTCGGGTGCTCATCCAAAACGTCTTTTGCAGGAAAAAGATTCACCGCAGAGTTCTGAAGAAGAATCCACTGAAGAATTTGAGAGTTATGATTAAGCTGAACCCGTATGCCAAGACCATGAGGCGCAACACCATTCTGCGCCATGCTCGGAATGTGAGTGGGTGAAAATGGGATTGGAATCCTAGAACTTCCTTTTTTAAAAGAACTCCAAACAAGAAGGTCTAAGCTTTTTTTCCCTTCTCCCCTTTACAGCACAAGCTGAGAGAAGAAAAAGCAGCGAAGGGGAGAGAGAAGGTAGCGGCTGCCGCTGCTGCCACCGCCGCTGCAAGAGCAAAGAAAGCTGCAGAACCTAAAAAAACTAAAGAAGCCAAGAAAGCCGCAGCATAAGCGTGGCTTTGTGTGCTGTAAAGGGCTGTACTGTGGATTACAGTGAATAAAAAACAAATCTGTCCAGAATGTCTTCGCAAAGGCTCTCTGTGGCTGAACTGGAAATTCAGAAGCCAGTGACTGTTTTGTAGAGGTGCTTAATCTTTAGATCCAGGTTAAGAAGGTTTGCAGTGTAATCCTAGGCGTGTTTACTCAAAAGTAGGCCCCACTGCTATTTTTAGTATCTGGGGGGGGGTCGGAAGTTGTAGTACTCTGTGATATTTGTGTTCTTGTGGTACACCAGGCACACCCGTGTGATCCAAAGATTGTGTCACAGTGAATTTTGGCTGGGGGTTTCGAGGGAAGGAAGGTTTCATGGGAATATCAGCTGTGGGCAATGCTCCCTCTAAGCTGTAGAGTCTTGTGAGCAAAAATTCTACTTTGTGAGCCGCTGGCATTAAAGTTGTGAGCAAGCAATTTGGCTACTGCATAAATTAGTTTGCTCTGGAGTCATCCTTCCTGAGCGAAGACAATATTGTGTGAGCCGGAGGCTAAAAAACTGTCAGGTAGCTCACACTAACTTGGCTTAGAGGGAACACTGGCTGTGGGTGGTAACTTAGGAGTTAAAATGTTAGGTAGAAAATAGTTCTTGCCTTTAAAAAAAAGGGGGGGGAGTGTAATCTCCGTTATTTAAGAGGTCTTCCTATAAATAGTATTCCGGTATATTGATAATGATAAGCATAGAACTGCTTCAAGTATGTTTGAAACAGGGCCACCATAATGTAGCAAAGCACCTGAATTCCCCTTTCCAAGTTGGAGCTGTGGGGAATTCAGATTAAATGGTTTAACATGTGAACAGTTGTGTATAAAGTCACAGGTGTTAACTTGAAAGATGTATAGGAGAAAAAACTTGGTGGATCAAGCAACAGTTTACAATTCATACTCTACAGTAACCTGCACTCCCGTGGTTCTTGACCTGTGGTTCACGTACCACATGGGATGCAGAAAGCAGTCTAAGTAGGACCCAGAGTTTTCATAACAATTGCTAAGGAATAGAAAAGAGCCAGAGTCCAGTATCACCTTAAAGACTGACAACATTTGTGGCAGAGTAGGAGCTTTCGTGAGTCGCTGCTCTCTTCAAGGCTACACATTTTGTCAGTCTGTAAGGCGCTCCTGGACTCCGGCTCTTTTCTACTGCTACAGACAGACTAACATGGCCACCCATCTTGACAAGTCACTCTCCTCATGTTCACCTGCAAGTACCAACATACCAACCCAGCCTTCAAGAGATTTTCCATCTGTGACCTCTTGGCATGCTAACAGTAACCGTGAACTCAATGTTGGTCCTAATCTCTTGTTCCCCCTGCCTGCCAGGAAGTGCCTCCTCCGATAGGCTGCTTTTTGCTAACCTGTATGCATTGTGGTTCTGTTATCTTTTTTAAAAATGTTTTTAAATGCTGCTGGGAACATGCTAAATGTGGTATAGATGTTCTGTTAAATGGCCTTCTTGGATAAAGAGGTTTTTTTGTTACTATGAACCAAGAAGAGATTGGATTTCTACCCCGCCCTTCACTACCGGAAGGCGTCTCAGAGTGGCTGACAATCTTCCTTTCCCTCCCCCTCCCCACAACAGACACCCCATGAGGAAGGTGGGGCTGAGATTGGCAAATGGACTTGGTGTCCTATGCTGCCTAGGTACTGCGGAGGATATAGTCCAGGGTAAGGATAAAGGTGGATTCCTCGTTGTCATAGGTAGGCTAATAGAACTACCAGGACCTTGGCAAACACCCTTGATGTCAGCCGAAAACGGTAAGGCCTTGTATTGGAATTGCTGAAAATCAAAAAGGGAAGAACTGTCTGGAAGGTGGAATATGCAGGTAAACATCTTGAAGGCCTAGGGGACATCCCATGGTCACGTCGTCATCCTGTTGAATGCTCTGCAGAATGCAGTGAAGAGATTTTAAACTGGAACTTGTGCTGCTTTACCCATATATCAAGATGGGCAGCCGTATTAGTCTGTAGCCGTAGAAAAGAGCAAAAGCCCAGTAGCACCTGAAGGACTAACAAAATATGTGGCAGGGTATGAGCTTTTGTGAGACGCTGCTCAGTTTTTCAAATACCTGTAGCTTCAACTCTTTATGTTTAATTTAGAATTGCTCTCCAGTCTCCGGCTCTTTTTTGAGACTACAAATGGAATGGAGTAAATCCCGTGGAAATGCTGTTCTTAGGGGCATTGGTTCCACTGTCCCTACGTGCACTAAATTTGAATAGGCCACAATGGAAGAAAAGGCGTCTCTGTTCTGCCTTGGTAAGTGGGGAAGCACAAAAGTGAGGAAACTGCTGGAATTGATCCCCAGAAAACAAGTATAAAGACAACAGTCGTGAGAGTCTGACCCACAAATCAAGAAGTCACCAAGACTTGCAAAGAAAAAGCTTCCTATGTATTATAATCTAAAGCACCACAACATCATTAGTCAAAAGAAAATCCTTGTGCGTAGGTACACAATCAACGTCGTCTCCGGATTATATAACGTTTCAGTAATGGATCTTCCTCAGGAGATATTCTGTAGTGTACAAAAACACAATTCTTTAGAGTATATACTATGTAAATAGAAAACAGTATAAAATACTGGTACAGTCTTACAGAGTAGTACAAAAGCTCTGTATTCATGAAGTGCCTGACAACAAGTCATAAAGAATCTGTAATATAATGTTCCTCTTAATGAAAAAATATAAGGTATTTTAAGTTACAGAGTATTTTAAAAAGCCAGCCTAGTAGTAACTTACACTACATTCAAGTAGGACGCTGATCTCAATAAATGTTCAGGCTCAAATATGCTGCTAAGCTTCTAAATGGATGTCTCTAGTGATTCCTAACAAAGCGTAATTAAAGGGACCTTGTAGATTGCTAACGTGATAAGAGGCAGTACACTTAAAGAAACATCACATATTAGTTTACAAAAAATCAGTTTACAAAAAAGAAAAGTAGTTTACAGAAAACATGAAAGGTCAACTTCTGCATTTAGTCCATTTGGAGATACAGGATGCATTCAAGAATTGACCCCCAACCATACAGTCTGGTGGTTGGTCTTTGTTTCGTTGGTTCCTGGCCTGTTTGTTAGGAGGGAGCTGTCTCTGTTGGAATCTGGACCTATAGCCAAAGGTGCAGGAGCGTCTAAAGTCCCGATTTTCTTTTAATGCCGATGAGTCTAAAATAGACAGAGGGTCCACCTTCCAATGACTTAGCCATAGCTTCATTCTTACCACTATATTGGTGGCCTGTGCTCCGGCACCAAACCGCATGGCCTCTTAAGATGTATCTGATGCAAATTTTGCAGCACTTCAATCTTTAGGATGGATCTCTTTAAGCGTCAAGGGGTCAGTGTTGGGATCTTGGAGGTCAGCAGCCGAAACCATGGTGGCCCTGGAAAAATAAGAACAAAAGAGAAGCCAACACTGGATCAGGCCAATGGCCCATCCAGTCCAACACTCACACAGTGGCCAAAACCACCGGCCATCAGGAGGTCCAGCAGTGGGACCAAGACACTAGAAGCCCCCACACTAGAAGCCCCCCACTGTCCCCCCCCACCCCACCCAAGCACCAAGAATACAGTGCATCACTTGCCCCAGACTGAGAGTTCCTATAAGAACATAAGAGAAGCCAATGTTGGATCAGGCCAGTCCAACACTGTGTCACACAGTGGCCAAAAATACCAGGGGCCATCAGGAGGTCCAGCAGTGGGACCAGGACACTAGAAGCCCTCCCACTGTTGCGCCCCCCCCCCAAGCACCAAGAATACAGTGCATCACTTGCCCCAGACTATAAGAATACAAGAGAAGCCAATGTTGGATCAGGCCAGTGGCCCATCCAGTCCAACACTGTATCACACAGTGGCCAGAAACACCAGGTGCCATCAGGAGGTCCAGCAGTGGGGCCAGGACACTAGAAGCCCTCCCATTGTTGCCCCCCCCCGACACCAAGAATACAGAGCATCCCTTGCCCAAGACTGAGAGTTCCTATCTATTTTTGTTGTTGTTCAGTCGCACAGTCGAGTCCGACTCTTCGCGACCCCATGGATCATCTCCCGCCAGGCCCTCCTGTCTTCCACCGGGATCTATACCTTGTGGCTAATAGTACATACCAACCTTGACACTGCAAGTCCATTGAGTCAGCCATGACGTGTGACAGACAGCACGTGAGTTCATACAGCGATGGGAACTGACAGTCATGGATGCTTTCCACGTTCCCCCTCCCTAAGCAGTCTTTTCTGACTCCGGAAAGTTTAATGGCTACATGAGTCAGGAGGCTTCTACCACAAGGACTTACGGCCATACTGCTGTTGTGAGTTCCCGGTTGCAACTTCTGTGTAAAAGCACAACGGGGCTGATTTGGATTGGGAATGTGGGAGAAAGAGGGAGGGCAAAGTCTAGATGTTCGGTGTTTCATTGGCGCTGCAATGTCACTGTGAGTGCTAATCCGGAAGCGACGTCAAAGCATCAGAGCAACTCTCAACTCGTTTTATGTGGATATCATGGTGGCGGTGATTTGGCTGGCCAGAGCATGTGGGTCTTTGAACTGTTTTGGACTCCAAACATTGTATCATTCCAAATGTTGTGTACCTACTCTTAGGTAAAGGTTCCCTTGCTCGAAAGCCAGTCGAATCAGACTCTAGGGTTGCGGTGCTCATCTCCGTTTCCTAGCCGAAGAGCCAGCGCTGTCCAAAGACGTTTCCGTGGTCACGTGGCCGGCATGACTAAACACCAGGGCGCACGGAACGCTGTTACCTTCCCACCGAAGCGGTACCTATTTATCTACTTGCAATTTCTTGCTTTCGAACTGCTCGGTTGGCAGGAGCTGGGGTCAGAGACGGGAGCTCACTCCGTCATGCGGCGCACTCGGGTCTCGAACTGCTGAATGACCGACCTTCCACAGCCTGCAGTTCAGCGTCTTAACCACTTGAGCCACCGCAGCTCCCCATGGATCTACTCTTCAGGCATGCCAAAGGACAAGGAAGCATTTCCCTTCAAAAATGTTCTCCGATCTAATGAAATCCCTCTACATGAAAGGTTATGTTCTTGTCCTTTAAATTCTGTGGATTCAATATATCGTATCATTTTTGACTGCCAATTTCATTCATCCTTAGGTAAAGAATTGTTGTAATCTTTATTTCCTCCTAATTATAGTTCTAATAGGGAAAAACTATCCAGTATCTACTAAAAGATGCTAATCCTAATATTACAGCTATAGTGGCTCAGTTTCTTGCTGAAGCAGTCAAAAGTTGGATCTGTTCTCGTAAAGGCATGATTCACATTGTTTAGACCCTGATGCTGGGAAAGACTGAAGGTCAAAGAAGACGGGGACGGCAAAGGATGACATGGTTAGACAGTGTCATAGATGCAACGAACATGAAGTTGAGCAAACTTCAGAGGACGGCGGAAGACAGGAAGGCCTGGCGGGATCTGGTCCATGGGGTCGCGAAGAGTCGGACTCGACTGTGTGACTGAACGACAACAACTGTGTCACTGCATCTTTGACAAGGAAGCAGCCAAAGGAATGACAATTGAGACATTATCCATTGGGGCAACCTGCCTCATTTATTTATTCACTGAGAAAAATTTTCTTGGGGTTCACAGTTTTCAAGAGAACCTTGACAAGATGGAGTGGTCTGCGGTCCTCGTTCTGCTGTCCGGTTTGGCTTCAAGTATCATCTGTTGAGTCGAAGATACTTCTGACCTTTTCTTGTCAGTGTCTTCCGTTGCAGGTAGCGGCCTGCCCTCAGACTCGAAGGAGTCTTGGGAAGTCAGCCCAGATGCAACAGACGGGGACGATACGATGCTTGGAACTTTCCGCAGGTCTGATGGAATCAAAGCTGGGACAGAATCCGCAGACTCCCCGAAGGGAGAAACAGTTCTTACAGTCACTACCTGGGGCCCTTGGAACACATGTCTTTGGGAAATGTCTAATGAGATGCTCCCCACGGTTGGTGACATGATTTCAGTCACTTTCTGTCCGTTGATATAAATAGCGTAGCCTGTGACTTTGACCCCATTCGACGCTCCTGTTGGATGGATGGTTTCCGGTAACCAGCTAATCACCAGGATATCCGCAGAGGAACCGACTTGTACTTGGACGTCAATGGGAGCATGAGGTGGTCCTGCTGACGGAGTCATGAACGTCATTTCTCTGGCTTTCTGCTGCAAACACCCCCGAGGGGACACCAAGGCTTCCTGGGGCACAAGAGGTTCCACTTTGACACAGTACTTGGTGCTGGGACAGAGGTTCTGGAAGGTGTAGCAGTAGATCCCTGCTTCGGTCACGTTGTATTTCTTCTCGTCAAGGCGCAACAGATGAGTGTACCTTTCGTTGCTTGGGGACCAAGTGATTTCTGCTGAGGTGCTAGCGATGTTCCAAAGAGTCAGGAGAGCCGGATTTTGGATATCAGACGCTGCTGCTGGGACTTCACGTGACTTTCCTTCTGGTCCGTCAGACGGACGACTAAGACCTCTGTCTTCATCCAGGATCTTGGTTGTTTCCTTACGTCTAGCACTTTGGCAGGAGAAACTCGGCTCCTGGACCAAGTCGTAGGAAATGCCGCTTGGCTCCAACGGAATGGAACCGAAGGGATCGTCATCTTCCTCAACTAAATTTGAGGGCACGAAGCCTCGTCTGCCATCCGTTAGTTCCCCTGCATAGAAGCCATCCTCATCCATTTCTCCACAGACATAAACATATTCTCCAGCTGTTAGTGGAAGTTCTGCCTCAGGGTTCTTATTAGGACCGCTGAATGGATCGTAACTGTAGCGCACTAGGAAACGACGAAGTCTGAAAGGCCGCAGATGATCTGACTGTAGCAGTATGGAAAGGTCATCCGTTTCCCATCCTTCCAATTCTCCTGTCGTATCTTCTGGATTGAGAAGATGGACGTCTTCCCTTTGACTGGGATCTCTCTGAGACAGCGAGAGATCATCTTGGCTTTTTCGTGCATGTCTCTGAAGCTGTTCTCCATTCTTGAAGACAACTCCTGGAGTTTCTTGGCTGCTTCTCTCAAGCGCTGGGCGAGGACAGCCAGATCGGCACTTTTACGCCTGAGTATCTTGGCTTTTTCGTGCATGTCTCTGAAGCTGTTCTCCATTCTTGAAGACAACTCCTGGAGTTTCTTGACTGCTTCTCCCAAGCGCTGGGCGAGGACAGCCAGATCGGCACTTTTACGCCTGAGTATCTTGGCTTTTTCGTGCATGTCTCTGAAGCTGTTCTCCATTCTTGAAGACAACTCCTGGAGTTTCTTGACTGCTTCTCCCAAGCGCTGGGCGAGGACAGCCAGATCGGCACTTTTGCGCCTGAGTATTTTGGCTTTTTCGTGCATGTCTGAGAAGCTGCTCTCCATTCTTGAAGATAACTCCGGGGGTTTCTTGGCTGCTCCTCCCAAGTCCTGGGCCATGACAGCCAGATCAGCACTTTTATACTGGAGTACTTTGGCTTTTTCGTGCATGTCTGAGAAGCTGCTCTCCATCCTTGAAGATAACTCCGGGGGTTTCTTGGCTGCTCCTCCCAAGTCCTGGGCCATGACAGCCAGATCAGCACTTTTATACTGGAGTACTTTGGCTTTTTCGTGCATGTCTGAGAAGCTGCTCTCCATCCTTGAAGATAACTCCGGGGGTTTCTTGGCTGCTCCTCCCAAGCGCTGGTCCATGACTTCCAGATCAGCACTTTCATGCTGGAGGATTTTGGCTTTTTCGTGCATGTCTGAGAAGCTGTTCTTCCTTAGTAGGCCGTTCTCTTCTTCGAGGCGAGTACATCTTTCCTTTAGAGCGTTCAGCTTAGCCTGGAGTTCCTGACGCTCCTTCTGTAGGGCGTCTGTCTGCTCGTCTTTGGCCAGCAGGACGCCGGCTTGGCCGCTGAGATCTTTTGCCTGTTGCTGAGCGACCACCTTATCACCCAATTCTCTATCAGAGTAACCCAGGTCCAGTGGTCCTGGGGGACTGCTGACTCTGGGGTTAGACTCTTGGACACCTGGGAAGCCGATCCCCCTTAGCAGAGCGCTCTCTTCAAGGGGACTGCCTCTCTCCCCGAAGGCATTCAGGATGTTCGACTGGTCTGCGTCCGGCTTTCTCGGCTCACCAGGCAACTGGCCTGGCTGCGGCACGCCTCCCTGAATGTGCTCTCCAGCGGCCCCCCGACTGTTGACTGTGTTTCCGGGGGGCAAGGAGGCCTGCGTGAATCTGTGCAGGGCCCCAGTAGGCAAAGGCCCCCCTTCAGAGTGCTCCAGAATATATTTCAGGAACAGGCGCCTCTCCAAATCGAGCTCGGCTTCGAGGTGGCGGACCTCCCACCGGAGCCGGCCCAGGACCTCTGGGAGTTTGGCCTGGCACTGGGCATTCGGCACCCCACCCGAGCCTCTCCGGCTGCCGCTTCCCCGGAGGGCCAATTCTCTGGCCAGCTGACGCTGCAGTTCTCGGGCCTGGCGCATGGCAGCATCGAGTTCTTTCTTCAGGAACTGCTGAGATTCGTGCAGCTCGGCCTGTTTCCAGCGCAGGAGCTGCCGGATCTCAGCTTCTCGGTGTTTCTTTGACTCTTCCCTGAGCTTCTGCAGCTCACGGGCCTGCCGCTGTGCCCATATGGAGTTGAGCCTGTCGGTCAGCAACCGCTGGTCCCGTGCGGCTGCCTCGCGGACCTCCCGCACCTCGATGGCGAAGCCGTCCCGGGTATCTTCCAGTTCGGCCCGCAGGGCACCTCGTTCCCGCCCGTGGTCTTCATGTGAAAGCAATGGGGAGGGCCTGCAGCTGCTGCCGCTTCCCCTGCTGCGGCTGCCACAGGATTGGTGCTGGTTTCTGGGCGTACACTGTGGAGTGGTGCGCATGGGCGTAGGCCCGCGGCCCCCTCTGAAGCCCATGTTGACCATCTGAGGCCAAACATGGAAATGATGACCTTTTCCTGAAGGGAGCTGTTAAATACTCTCAATTATTTATGGCCTCATTACCCTTAGTCCTGTGACATCACGAGTTGCCATAAAAACAAAATTTTGTTGTTGCCTAGGAAACCCAGTGCCTCCCAGCCCCCCCCCCCCCAAAATTCATTACAGTGTGGACATAATTACATCAGCCTACCTTATAGGGCTATTGTAATGGATCACTAAAACACAAGGTGTGATTTGAACACGTGTCCATTGGAAACCATGGGAGAGGCTTGAAGGCCCTTTGGAAATAATGGGAGCCTATTCCTAGACTTGCATGGGCTCCATTGAAATACACTACAGCACAAGAAGAGTTGCAAAGAAAATGTTATACATATTAGATTCCAAATCAAAAATGAAGTCAAATGAGGAGGAAGATCTATGTTTAATTGCAATTAGACATGGGGAAACAGTTGGACCAAATAGCCCATGGCAATGTGACTGCTTGGAAAGTATTTAAGTATTTAACAAAAATGTGGAATGGATTCTCTGTTAAAGTCTCAGGGCCCAGATAGACTAATCTGGGACTAAAATGACTGCCCCCAGAGTGGAATGACAGTCCCTGGGAGTAGAGGTGCTTCTTTGAAGGGTTCATTTGGAGGCCAAAGTATTTGAGCTTCAAGTTCAGGATCTGGCCCTTTTGAGCTCCTGGCATTAAAGTTGTGAGCTAGCGATTGGGCTGCTGCATAAATTAGTCCGCTTTGGGGCCCTCCTGCCTGAGCTGGAGGCTAAAAAACTCTGAGCTGGCTCGCACTAACTCAGCTTAGAGGGAACATTAATGAGTACGACCCCTCCCTTCGCCTCCGGGACCGCCACGTGGGCCGCTCGCCAGCCTTCCGCTCTAGCCCTATCCGTCTCTGTGCTCCCCGGCGAGGCGCGCCCGCCCACTTCCGCCCGCGAGCAAGATGGCGGCGACGGTGGGGCGTCCCTCCCGGCGGCGTGGGCGCGGGTGTCGTCATCCCTCCGGGCGGGGCGCGGGCGCGACGGCGGGAGGATGCTGAGCCGCCTGCAGGAGCTGCGCAAGGAGGAGGAGACGCTGCTGCGGGTCAAGGCGGCGCTGCACGACCAGCTCAACCGCCTCAAGGTCCGGCGCGGGGGGCGGGGCGGAGAGGGGGGGTCGTTTGCATATGCTAATGAGCCGGCGTGGTGGTGGCGGCGGGGCCCGGCCCGGCCGCGCGTGCATGGAGGGCGGGCCCAGGGCGCTGCCTGGGACGGGATCAGGCCCTTGGGGGGTCCACCCAGGCCGGTATCGCCCACTCGGACCGGCAGCGGCTCTGCAGGGTCTTGGGTTAAAGGTCTCGCACGTCACGGCCCCTCCCCGACCATACATGAAGCGGCTTCGTACTGAATGAGACTCTCGGTCCACCAGGGGTCCACCCAGGCCGGTATCGCCCACTCGGACCGGCAGCGGCTCTGCAGGGTCTTGGGTTAAAGGTCTCGCACGTCACGGCCCCTCCCCGACCATACATGAAGCGGCTTCGTACTGAATGAGACTCTCGGTCCACCAGGGTCAGTGCTGCCTACTCAGACTGGCAGCTCCTCTCCAGGGTCTCAGGCGGAGGTCTTTCCCATCACATCACCTCCTGCCTAGTCTTTTTCTAACTGGGGATGCCAGGGACTGAACCTGGGACCTTCTGTATGCCAAGCAGAGGCTCTGCCACTGAGCCACAGCCCCTCTTTACAGCTCTCCAGGGTCTCAGGCGGAGGTCTTTCCCATCACCTCCTGCCTGGTCCTTTTAACTGGAGATGCCGGGGATTGAACCAGGGACCTTCTGCATGCCAAACAGAGACTCTGCCACTGCGCC